CGTCAACGACCTACCACGGGAAATCAACAACCCGTGCTTCATGTTCGCGGACGACTTCAAAGTGGCGGGTACGAACGTATATCAGGACCTGCAGGCTGTTATACGGTGGTCCGAAAAGTGGGATCTTCCGCTAAACCTAGCTAAATGTCAGCTTCTAACAACAGAAGCTCAAGAGATAGAACTTAAGGACCTGGGAGTAATTATACCCTACGACTTCAAACCCTCTCAACAATGTCAGAGGGCAGCCAACGTAGCTCGAAGGGAACTCTTTCTTGTACACTCTACGATTACGTGTGAGAGACCCGAGGTTCTCGTCCCTCTGTAAAAAACCATAGTCAGGCCACACTTGGAATATTGTGTTCAGGCATGGGCACCCTACTTTCGGAAAGACATCGAATGCCTAGACAGGGTGCAATGCCTGGCTAAAAGGATGATGGTGGGACAAAGGGGTAAGAGCTACGAGTAGAGACTCAAGAACCTCAACCTGTTCTCTCTGGCAAGTAGAGATATTATAGAAGTCTTCAAGATCATGAACGGTCTCTACGGACTTAAGTTTAATGATATAATCCAATTCATCCCCTCAAGTGGCATTGGGGGACATAGGTTAAGGCTGCAACGGAGTCTTCAAAGGCTGGACATTCAAGATACGTTTTTTACAAGTCGCGTAAAACCTTACTAGAACAGTCTACCCGAAAATGGGGTAAGTCACTCGAACGTCATAGCCTTCAAGAGATCATTAGATGACCGTTTGTATTTTATACTGAATTTTTAAAAATCCTTCCGAATCCATATTGATTTATGATGCAATAACTTTATCTGTGTGTTGCTCTTATATTGGCATTTCACGATCATGAACACCACATATCATTATTTATCTGTTAACTCTATGCCCGGCACATTTGAATTTTGCGTGGTTTGAGAACGGGAGCGACTGTTTGCCTCTCTCTGGACCTCATATTTGGCTTGCTTGTTTGAGTGCTTTTGGCCGCATATTTGAGGTTTACTTTATTGTACATTTTGTAATGATTTCGTTAATTCAGTACCGTAGAACATTGCGGATTAATTGTATTTTTACTTCGGGATTCGTATCGGTTCGGCTACGCGTCATTCAAGTGCGAATTGGTTGACGCGCACCGTTGGGCTTCTACCTTCTCTGAAACAGTTTGATGGTAAGTACCTATTAGTCCTGAACGCCATTGCTTAGGACGTGATACTGCACCTTACTTTCTGCCTTTCAGATAAATCCTATTGACCCGCAGTGTTGGAAGCCACAAGAACAACCAACAACACATCAATCTGGACGCAAGTTTGGCCCGAGCCTTACATCGTTCTGTGCAAACTGAAATAAACCTCCTCCTGAAGAAATTGATTATCCAGATCCTGGCATTACCTGTGATGCCTTCAGTTCATCTTTTTGTCTAGGTATCTGCGACTGACCAAATCAAAGGCCCTACTAAAAACCGTGTAACAGACTTCCACCGTGAGACAGTCGTCGATTATCCTGATCATCTCTAAGAACTGCACAAAATGTGTCAAACTTGACTGGCCTCTCACGAATCTGTGCTGCGCGTTTGTTATCGTATTGTGTGACGACTAAACAGCTGATATATACACATGAGGGGAACACCATGCTCAGTAAAACACAAGCAGTGAGGTAAAACAGAAAGTAATATAACAGTGAAAATCAAACTGGGTTGTGAATTAGGCATGAATGGAAAGGGTCCTCATGGATTGCTCCTCTTCTTCGTACAATCATCGTCACTACAAATCTACTGTTCCCTTAAGTCATTATCGTCATTAGGCCGACGTACTGGGATCTGAGTCTATCAGGGCAAGAAACTGGACAATTTGGCACCATCATGTTAGGTCAGGTCCAAGGACTTGTGGATCGAGCCAAATTGAGTCCAGTTTCTTGCACGGTGGGCCCGTGTATTGGTGAGAATCTCCGCCTGTCATTTGGAAGGCCCGGGTTCGATTACCGGGGAGCAATATTTTATTGTCGAAGCACACGCAGAAAAACGATTCGCTCACGGCCAAGAACCCGGACTTGAATTGGCATCAGCCGCAAGTCCTGTGACCTGACCTGACCTGACCTGATATGTGCCTCACTGTCTAAAGTGGTGGTTCTTAAACCGAACTGAACGTGGAAATAGAAAACAGCAGGCATACAGGAAAGGCCAGGAAATGGGTGAATAACTTCTTCAGGAGGAGGACCTTCAGAGTAAGAGCTGGCACGTGCACTACAGATCCAGCAGATGTGATCAGTGGCGTACCTCAGGGATCTGTACTGGGCCCATTACTCTTCCTCATCTTCATCGACTGGGGCTGCGGAACCCGTGCTACCTGTTTGCTGACGATGTGAAGGTGGCCCGCGCAGACCTGGATGAAGACATTGAAGCTATACTATCCTAGTCAAATAAGTGGGACTTGCCGCTAAACCTAGCCAAATGTCAACGGCTAGGGGCAAGAAAGGTCGACATCCCTGGTCAGACAGGGCAGTTGATGGAGGTTACGCATGCCAAGGACCTAGGGGTGGTGGTCTCTAGGGCCTTCAAGCCCTCCAGGTAGTGCATGGCGTCAGCCAATAGGGCTAGGGGTGAACTCTTTAGGATAAGGGCGACGATGTCCGGCCACATCTAGAGTATTGTGTTCTGGCATGGGCACCATGCTTACAGATTGCCTGGAAAGAGTTCAACGACCAGCCGCCCGAGTGGTATGTGGTCAGAACCACAAGGATTAGGAGGACGGGCTTAAGGACTTAAACGTGTTTCCCCTTCGACGCAGACGCATGAGGGGTGACTTAATTGAAACGTTCTTAACAATGAACGGTTTGTCGGGCATCAAAAGCGAGGAACTATTCTCTGCGATCCCGGGAAAATGGCACCAGGGGGCATAGCTTCAAACTACAGCGCAGTAGGCTGCAACTCCGGGCAAGGTTCTTCACTAACAGGGTGATCCCACTGCGGAATAGGCTGCCAGAAATCGTGGTCAGATGCAGCACTGTAGTGGCATTCAAGATCGCCCTGGATGAGTGTTGGAGAACAGTCTACCCAGAAGCGGCCTACTGAGGAGTAAGGAGCTACGAAAACACTCGCACTTTAGCCGGTAAGTTTTGATGTTACAAATGTGGATGTATGCTAGAGAAAGGTGTTTTATGTTAGGTATTTTCTGTGAATCTACCAAGCACCAACATTTTACATTTTATGACAATTACGCCAGGTGTAAATAGTCAGGGTCATTCTTAACAACCAGCACATCTTGCTTCATCTTCGCTGATGATATAAAGATGGTTGGATCTAGTGGAAGAGCAGACTTGGCAGAAGATATCGCAAATGTGTTCAAGTGGTCCCACACATGGAATCTGCCACTAAATGCAACAAAGAGTAGTTGCTCTCTAGACCTGGGGAACCACTGAAGGCTCTCGGGGACTGGGGGCAATTCGAAGTAGGCATTGTAACTAGTGCCAGGGATCTAGGAGGCAGATTACAGTTGGGGTACTCAATGTGAAGCTGCAGCACACATGGCTAGACCACAGCTGTTTCGACCAAGGTAACCAGCTTCGTGTAGGAAAGCAGACGTATATATATCCATATATAAAGCCATCGTAGAATGTCGTGTTTAGGCTTGGTCGCCCTTCTACAGAAAGGACGCTGCCTGTCTGAAGAAGGTTCAGCGACTAGCAACACGGATGGTTGAGGGTATGCGGGGAAAAACATACGAAGAGAGGTTGTACGCGCTCGGTCTTTTTTCACTAGAAAAGAAGAGATTGTGTGGAGACCTCATTGAAGTAATTAAAATTGAGAAAAAATTACTAGGTTTAGATCCGGGGTCCCTCTTCACTGAGGCTCCTCACCAAGGAACTCGTGCTCATGAGCTCAAACTTATGAAACAGCGTTCTAGGCTGAACCTACGAGCACACTTCTTTAGCAGTAGGGTAGTGGATAACTGGAATAAGCTACCGTCTGAACTGATTAAGCACCCAAACGTCCAAGCCTTTAAAAAAGCACTGGACATCAGATGGTTTGAGGTCTTCCATGGCATAGAATGTTAGGTACATAAATTGTTTTTGGGTAATATGGAACGCTTTCACAGTAAAAGTCTCTCGCCGACAGGGTGAGGAGTAAAGTCTATTTTTCTATCTGCAAACAGAGGTGGACGCACACTCATGATCAAACCACCGAAAGAATTCTGGATGCTTTATTGGCCTGTGACCATTACCAGTCCTGCGCAACCTGACCTGAACCTATGGCAGCTTGGCCCAGGCCTAGACCGCTGAGTCTCATCCGTCTATTTTCAGAAACACCTCAGCCGAGAACGTACACTGAGGACAGAGACAACTAGACCCACCAGGGGTCGATCGCTGAAATCGTCAATATGTGGTGTTGGAAACTACAAACACCCGCCAACAACACAATAATCTGGACGCTCGATTGACTGAAAGCCACATTTCGTCATGCGCTTACTAAACTGAACTGAAATGAACTGAAATTCAGATGTCGAAGTGCATAGATAGCATTGACTCTCGATTGCCCAAGAAACTAGACCCTCGTAGACATCAGCCACTACTCCTGTGACCTGACCTAAAATAAATCGTAATTTGTTTTAAAGCGTGCATTCAGTTGAAGCGGGAAGTTACATTTGGCGCGACGTGAAATCTAGCGCGGAGCCATGGGACGCCGTCCAGCTCGATGGTATGTCTATCATTTCCCTCGCTTTTACCATGCAGCTACCGTTATTGTAAAAACAAGCCGTATCCTAAATCACGTTTCTGTCGTGGTGTTCCTGATCCGAAAATTCGTATCTACGACTTAGGAAAGAAAAAAGCCGATGTCACGGAATTTCCTCTCTGTGTACATCTGATTTCTGATGAGTACGAACAGTTATCCAGTGAGGCCTTAGAGGCAGCACGTATTTGCGCCAACAAATATCTCTTAAAGAACTGTGGTAAAGAGAATTTCCATGGTCGTGTACGTGTGCATCCTTTCCACGTCATCCGCATCAATAAAATGTTATCGTGTGCTGGAGCTGATAGGTGAGCTCTCCTTTCTATATAACTATTGCTATAGATTGCAGACAGGAATGCGTGGTGCTTTCGGGAAACCTCAAGGTACAGTAGCCCGAGTGGACATCGGTCAAGTCATCATGTCCGTTCGCGCTCGGGACCAACATGAAGCCACTGTGACGGAGGCTCTCCGAAGAGCGAAAATGAAGTTCCCTGGCCGTCAAAAGGTAGCCTATTGAGTATCTTGCATGATGTTTCTCGTCTTCTGATTCTCCTTTGTCGTCAATAGCCGTTTGTAATGTAGCGCACCCTCCATCCGACGTTCCTGGTGCAACGAAATGGCACCACTCTGATTA